CCTGTGCAGGTCTTACCAGGTGCTGGGCTACATCAGATCCGGAAGCTGTTGGGAGCACCTGTTAGAATATGCCTTCTTAGAAATCCTCAGAGACTTGAAATTTCACTTGTGTTTTGAAAAACCTTAATGCCAGAGCTACAAAGGGCATCAGACTCTGGCTTCCCACATGACAGATCTGTTCCATGCTGACTTCCCACTGAAGACTGGAACACAGTCCAGCTTTTGTTCACTGTGTCCTTTTAGAGACATTGGCTGGGAAGGAAATCTGACAGACTGGAGAAAACTTGGCTAAGAGTTAATCGTCTTTATTTAGTAATAATTGGCATGTTTTTTCATACACCTACAAGTCCTTTGGCACTTGATGGCTTGGGACATGGTCATGCCTACTTGAGGGAGAAATTCCTGAAGTTCATTCAGTCCCGGTCAGCATGACTCAAGGGAAGCAGCAGCCTCCTAAAAGGGCATGTCCTGTCTTTCAAGGATTCTTAGTTGTTCCCAGCCCAAGGGATTGCCTACAACACATCAGGCTGAACTATTTTGGTACCTGGCTAACGTCTCTGGGTGTGTCGTGGTGGCTGTGTGGCTGCAGCCAGCAGTCTGCAAGAGGAACAGAGAGGGAAGTGTTCAGATTTTGCAGAGTTTCAGCCCTGCAGGCACTGCATGGAGCTGCTAATGCTTATAAAGTGGCTGGGTAAAAGGGTGTAATCAAGTGAGCTGTGGGCAGAGGAAGAGTTCTTAATTGCAGCTGTAGGAGTAGTTGGCAGCCTCGGTGGCTGATAGTCTTCCTCAGGTGAGATTGGCATCCTCAGGTATGCAGAGCTCTGTCAGGCCATAGACCAAAATGAGCTGAGGATAGGAAAATTGCCTTGGCCATGAGTTGATGGAATCATCAGCATTGCTTGTACATTAGGATGTGCTAATTATGGCCTATTGCTGAGGTGGGCATCGGCTCCCTAAAGCTGTCTGCTTTGGAGAGCTGCAGCAGAGGAGGAGAGAGCTTGGTAGTTCTCACACAGGCCCTGCTGTAGCTTTTCCTGGAGGTTTCATAACAGAATTAAGCAATTTGTGTTGCGCGTTGCCATGGAGACTGTAAATCACTGTCATGCTGGTCTTCCCAGCCGGTGTTTTTAATTGCACAAACCTCCCCTACCAATCCAGGGCTTGGTTCTCAGCTTGCTGACCTTCTGTAAAGGCCTCGCCCTGGGAGCTCAGCCTCCAGGACAGCAGAGCAGAAACCAGGGAGAGGGGTGCCAGCACATCAAGTATCAGCTATCTGGGGTCCATTCTAATTTTTATTATTATGTGGCCACAACTCTGCTCAGAAGCTGTGCTTGCATTTACCCACTTGCATTCAGGGCAAGTTTTGTAATGAGGGTGGGGATTAGACACACTACCTACATTTTGTGGGCCAGTCATACAAACTAAGATGAATTTGGTGTTTTTATGTTACTTGGCTGCTCCAACGGGATAGCTCAGCCCTCCTACTCCACTTCCATGTCTAGACAGGTAAATGGGATTTTATGCAGTTTATTCTGCCTCCTAAAAGAAAACAATTTTTTGCTGAGGAGGATATAAGGAGGTGATACCCTTGGACCAATGTTTCTTTTTGTTTCCCATCCACCTACCTCAGAAGTAGCCACATTTCTGACTGTCTCAGCATTATTGGCTTGTGCTGTCAGGCCACCAGTCTTGCCAGTGTGTATGAAGATGGTTGTATAAGTCAGCCTCCTTCCAGTGACTAAAGCAGAGCCCTGACGGCATTTGTCAGCATAGGGTATAGATCCTTTTCTTGGCTCCTTCAAAATAAACTACTATATAAATTGTAAGATCATTATCATCAGACCTTATTAGTGTATTACCACATGCTGTTTTGTATTCAGACAATAGATAAAAACATTTGTGCTTCACTTTTCTCAGTCAGATCTACAGCAAACACGCTTATTCTTGCTCCCACCTGAGGAGGACTGTGTCAGTACTCTTGCCAAAAACACATGAAAATTAGCCCAAGTCTTTTGCACTTGCCTGTAGTTCTGCACACCTTTAGGAGTGCATTTCCAGGAAATGATATATGTTGTTTTAAAGGTTTGAATCATGATCTGGTTAAGTTCATAATCTTGTCAAGGCATGAGTTGTCTTCGTGCTTTGGTTATCAGGGCAGATGGAGGGGTAGAGGGACTGAAGTGCTTGACTTTTGTCTGGTTCATTATGTATGTGCATGGCTGGAGCATGGAACCTGCCATCTCAGTAGAAAGAGGAGTGTTTCCTTGAGCAGCAGAAACAATCCTGCAGAAACATCTAAACTTGCTGCCTTTTGACACACTGAAATTTTCATCTGTTGTGCTAGCATCACCTAAAATACAGGGAACTGTGCTCAACAAGCCAGCCTACAGTTTTTGGTTTTGTTTGGTTTTTTTTGGTTTTTGGTTTTTTTTGGTTTTTTGTTTTGTTGTAATTTTTTTTTCAGTCCAGTTCTTGCTGTTTTCCCCAGGCTACGTAACTCTCAGTCTGGTGGTTCAGACACACAGCATGACCAAACTTCTGGAAACAACGGGAAGCAAATGCCCCGATTCAGCTGATAAGCATGCTGGGCAGAGACACAGTTTGTACAATGGGCTAAACATTATCCTAGCACTTTGGGGAGCATTTCATGCAAGATAAGCTTCAGGCTTCTTAGGAGCGGGTTAAAGGGCTGGCACAAAATGTCAGTAAAAATGTAATGCTTGTTGCCAAGCAGCAGCTTGTGGTTTTGTGAGGAGGTCAAAAATTGTGCACAAACGGAGTATGTTTTTCACATCCACAGACTGTCCCCCGCCATGTCAGTAACAATCAGTCTTTCATTCTGCCTGGCTGGAGCTGCTCTGCTGTGTAAAGAAAGATGGGGTGAAATCTTGGCCATGGGCAGAAGTAAAAATTGTCATTAAATGTGTTGGAAGGAGTCAGTCGAAAAGCCTGTGAGGATCATCTGACTCAAAAAGGATTACACCAAAATAAAACTTGGTTTTTTAAGCAAAAATTAGATATTTAGTTGAAATTCATAGGTTTTTCTGCAGACCAGCCTGATATGTATTGATGTGTGGTCTCATAGATATGACAAAGTGACTTACTCAAAAATAGGGCAAGAAACTTTTCCTTGAAGTTTTTGTGAGGAAATGCAGTAAGAGTAAAACCATTTGAAACCTCAGCTGGTTTGAGGTGTTGCTTGCTGTGGATATTCTTGAGAATAGCAAGAATTTCCTCCAAAAGTGGTTTAGAAACAAGCAGACTTGATCACGCTTCTTGCTCAGAAAATGTTGGCTGGTCTCAAGTTGGACAAGAGGCCTTTACTGTTCTTAGACTCAGCAATCTCATCCTCTGTCTCCTTATGGGTTTTTCTTTTTGGAGGTGGTATGGGGTCTCCAGTGTACTGAAAGAACATGAGACCCCCAAGTTTGCCAGGTCAAAAGTGCTTTTATGATTCAATATGTTGGATTCAACTGAAGTAATGATTATGGACAAAGGGACTAGAGAAATCAGAAACTAACCTGGATTATGGGATTATGTTCTTGTGTATTGACAAGAACACAGCTTCTGTGGCACAGAGCACATTAGACTTGTTTGGTAGTTTCTGAGAATGAAAAAGTTAAAATTGTCTTTTTAATGAAAAAGAAATCCCTAGGGTTATTGGGAAAGCCTCCAAAAGCTTGTGTGGGTTGGTGGGGATACAGGTTAGCTACTTACAGGTTGGGAGCCAACAGTTTATGGAGGTTCCCTCAGAGCAGTCCTGGTCCCACCTCAGTGCTGACCCCAGCCAGCACCTGCAAGCCCAAAGGGCACCAGCAAAACCAGAATTTCTGGGAGCAGATGCCTGCAGAGATTGTCACCACAGCTGCTGCTGCACTGAACAGTATTTTGAAGAAAACCAATACCAAGAAAATCAACTGCCTTGTCTTTGGCCTTATCATTACGATGGATTTTTTAATCTTCTCTTTAAGTGTGTGAAAGACCTCCCAGAAAATGCAGCGGTCATTCAGATCTGGGAGATGGCCACCTGGTTCCTCTGTGATCTGAGTCACTGTTACTGCTGCCCAAGGGTGGGTGGAGGACACTTTCATGCACAGAACCTCCTGTCTGCCTTCTCCTTCAATGAGCAGCCTCTGCTGCTGAGTGTTGAAATGGGCCAGTCAGTCAGCTACAGCTGCCTCTTCTCTCTTCTCCACTAACCTGTGCTGTTGCCCAGGTTCAGCCAGGGAAATTTTTCATCTTGCTTTTAGGAAGCAGCTCTGAGGTGAGGGGAGCAGTGTGCCCATGCTGCCAGGAAGCTGCTCTCTAGGCTGTGTCACAGCCACAGGCACCAGTCTTCCTGCCACAGCAGGGTTGAGGGTTTAAAAAAAAAAACACCTGTTGTTCCTGGCTTGCTGCCTTCTTGTTTTTATTTCTCAAAATTGAAAGAGAGAGAGAAGAAAGTAGCTAAGTGCATTTTTGTCTACTGGCAGAGCTATGCTTGGACCTTTATCTCCAGTTTTATCTATCACCAGCAGTTCTGCCTGCAGATCTGGCCCTAGGATGTAACATACCATTTAGTGTTCTCTGTACCTTGGGTTAAGCAGTGAGGAATAGCACAACTCTGACTTATCAATGGGATTTGGGCACTGGCAACAGGGAACTGCTGGGAGCTTGATAGGTGCACTGAGGCAGGGTGATTTTTGTCATTGCTGTGTGGACCTAGCCCCTGTAGGAAAGGTATTCAATGGGATAGGTGTTGTGTGTGCATTTGGTGACAATTAGCAATGTTTGCAGACAAACAGGGCACAGCGGTGGAGATGTCTGCACTTGGGAGTGCTGGGTCTGAGTTGGAGCAGAGCTGTTGGGAAGGGCTGGTGCTGCTGCTCCTTTCCAAAAGGATTTTGGATGTCAGAGCTGCCTTCATTCTCACTTCTTGGCAGCAGGTAAAAGCTTCCTTGTGCATTTTTCCCTCTTATTGTTGCTGCTGAGTGATTGGAGATGATCTCTCTCTCCAGTAGGTTTGGCACACTGGAAGCATGGCTACAAGTGCCGTTCCCAGCGAAAACCTCCCCACGTACAAGCTGGTGGTTGTTGGAGATGGTGGTGTGGGGAAGAGTGCTCTCACTATTCAGTTTTTCCAGAAGATTTTTGTGCCAGACTATGACCCAACTATTGAAGACTCCTACCTGAAGCACACAGAAATCGACGGGCAGTGGGCAATTCTTGATGGTAAGCAAGCTACTCTCACCATCCCCTTTCCCTTCCAGCTGAGCACAGTTGCAAATAGACCTCAATGTCTCCCACAGCATGTTATGTCTCTGTCCTCCTGCTCTGCTGTGGGCTGGCAGGATCTGGAGCTGCAGTGCATGGTCTGCAGCTGGTCTCCAGCAAAGCTTCTGCTTCCAGTTGCATTGGTTCCAGTTCTGCACAGAAATGTTTCTTGCAGGCCTGTGAAAACCTACAGATCCTCATTGACATTTGGAGTAGACTTCTGCAGCCGGTGAATTACAGCACTGCCAGGTGGCTATTGCTAATGATACTTCACTGAGGTTGAGCTCATCCCCAGGGAAATAACAGTGAGTGGGTAACTGAGTGAGGGTTGTAACCAGAAAGAATATTTAATCAAAACTGTTGTCCACTGACAGTGAAGAATCATTACAGCTCTTAAATCCAGTCATTCAGTGTGATGTTTTCACATTCAATTACCTGTTTCATTTAAATACTGCTAGGAGATTGGAGCCTGGAGATCAGAGAGCTGCTGTAACCAAGAGTTTTCAGTCTTTTGAAGAAAAACTGCCTTTTTTTGTTTTTTCTTTTTAACAAAACAACAACAGTGAAACACACAGACAAAAAAAACCTCCAAAAAGCCCCAAACCAACCACGGTGATTAGCAGGTGAGGAGAAAGCCCTGTATTGCCTAAAGCTGCAGCTTGTTCATTTGTGCTGCATGAGGCAGGCTAGCCACAGCTACAAAGGGAATCTTGCTCTTAAAGGTTTTAAGTTTTGTTTTGCTTTATAGGATTATTAGGTAATACATAAAAGCAAACAAGTATTTTGTGCCTTAGTTACCCAAGTTCATGTATGTATGTGGTCACTAACATAACTGAACTAAATTTAGCCTCATTTGTGCCAAATTCTACCTCCACCCTCTTGCCACAAAGGTGCTCAAGATCTTTGATGTCTCTGCATAAGTGTCACTGGTGTGTGGGCACTGAAAGCTGGGGGTTTGTCAAGCGTAGTGGAACATGGATGCTGGTGGGGTTTGCTGTGAAAACTTAGCTTGTTCTGGAAACTTGAGATCTTAGTTACAGTCTTATGGATTTATCAGATATAATTTAGTGAGTTCAAATGGCCACAAAGTCCTTAAAATAACAGCTTTCTTTCAATATTAAACAAAACCAGCAAACAACAAAACAAGTTAGTCTTGCCAACATTTGTTCATTTGAATATGTTAATAGTTGATATGAGGCAGTATTTGTGAAATTGGTGTTGAAATGTCTCTTCTTGTCATCTGCATTAGAGATATCTGCTCCCAATTAACCATCTCAAAATGTATACATTCAGCTTTATTTTTAAAATTCCAGTCCTGTATAAAAGAAAAATCCAGTCCTGCTGTAAATTAAATTCATTATTTTGAGTCTAAAATTCAGCCCCCTAAAATGAGTGACCTTTATCTTCACTGGTATGTCTCATATTCTGATATATATACCATCTGCTGTACATGTTGATGTTGGCTGAAACAGCCTTGGCTTTGCAAATTATTGAAAAGTAGAAAAGGCATCTTTTACTGAATATTTGGAATTTTTGTTTAGACAAAAAAAAAAGAAAAAAAAAAAAAAACAAGAAAAACCCAACCAAACCTGATCTGAGTGGGAGTGGTGAAAGAAATTTTTTCCAACAAGCAGAAAATTAACCCTTTGTTTTAATGAGAAAACCTTTCTTTTGCTCATATGGAGCTGTACTTCGCTGTACTTGGGCTGAACTGAATTCAGCTGTGGCCTTGAATGGCACGTTGGGAATCCCTGACTTCCAGGGCTTGTGTGCCCACAGATGCTTCACAGCCAGGGGAGTGAAACTGCAGCTGCTTCTCTTTCCTACCACTTGATATTTTGAACAATCACAATTTTGGAAGAAAGGCAATATTCTTGCCTGAAAAAGGATGTGGCCCTTCTCCATCTGCCCAGAAGAAACAGGGCACCACGACTGACTAACACTTGTGTCATTTGCCTCCTCTCTCTGTCACAGGCTTTGGATCTAGGCCATTCTCAGAGGTCACCATATCCTGGGACAGCTGCTCTTGCTGTGGCTACGTGAATCACTTCTGGTATAAAATTAGGGACAAGCATGATAGTAAGGGTAAAGATGCATCATGATAATTCCTAGACTTTCCAGTTGTTCTTTATGACCAAAGCCTTTACAAGCTGGAGTTTCATGCAGTGCTTAGTGGGCAGAAGCAGCTGCCCATCCCCCCAAATAGGAACTAGTTTTGGAACACAAACAACCAAATAAGGCTATAGCATGAGGGGCTCTATAAGTTTTGAAATTTTCAGAAACAGTTATTATTTTTAAAAAACCAAATACATAGGCATCCAACAACTTTTTAAAAGAAGGGAAACAGCTCATCCTTTTCCAGGCTGTTGCCTGAGCAGTTCTGTACAAAGCATCTCAAGCATTTTGTAACTGCACCAGCATTATGTTGTAAAAAACCCTTCTGCTATCCAGCTTGCATAAAGCATTTGGCTTCCCTCCATGAAGACCTTCACCCACATTTATTCAACAGCACTAACAGCATGATGAAATGTTTGACTTGCATTTTTTTCTTTTGCTGAAATCTCTCAATGAAAGTAGACTGAAATGGAATAGGGTTTTATTTTAGATCTTGAAACAAAAGTTACATTCAAAATCTTCTTTTACCTGTTTGTTCTTTGGCTACAGCATGTCTCTATTTTTCTCACCAAGAGTTATCTGTGTTTGCCGCCTCCTAAAAGATTGTGGGACCTATGTTCCACACTACACAAAATCACTTGGTTGTTGACCTTATGCCAGCTTTAGAAGACCATCAATGCAGTGTTTGGAAGACAAGTGTTGAAGAGTGGAAGAGGGCACTTAACCTAAATCAAAGATGTGCAGGCAGTTAGTGGCTAGCCCATTTTTTGGCTGCTGCCACTCTAATGAGGCTTTAGGATCAGCCTCCAATTTTCTCTGTATATGTTATCTTGGTTTATTCCCTGCTGGTAGTGCTGAAATCAGCACAGTGCTGTGCTCGGTGAAATGCACGTAGGTGCTATACAGACATGAGGTCAGAATTAAGTGGGGGCCAGGGTTAATCTGCTTTGATTAGCTCTTGCTCCAGTTGCATTGCTGTGATTAATTTTGCACACTCCTTTCTGTGTGCAGGCTAATTTAGCAAGTAGCAGAGGATTTCTTTTGGTGTGGCTGCAAAATGCCAGTCTGGAATTATTAATCTGGGCATGAAGCCAAAAGTGGAATACCTTAATATGGCAAAAAGTTCCCTATGGTTCAGAATTCCTTATGGTTCATACATCATACAGAGATAAAAAGGTGGCAAGCAAAGGGAGATGAAGAGATGACCACAAGCACATGGCTTGGTCTTGTTGGGGAATTGGGCTGAACTCTGAGCTGTCAGTAGGGCTGTGCCAATTGGTATGAGCCAAACAAGGAATTGTGTTGGATGAAAGGAAGCTGTGGTTTCCATTCTCTTCCCTTTCCTTTCCCTGGTATGATTTTGATGAAACTCTCACAGCCTAGAAGTTGTTTCTCTGCTTCTGAGCTTCAGTTTTTCTTCCAGTTCTCTTCCCAAGACCTCCTCCCAATCCTGGGGGGCCCTTGTGTTGGGCTGGACCTGCACAGCCTGGTGTTCACCCCTGTGCAGTCACACCAAGCTCTCTTCCTTCCCCCACACTCTATCTGCCCTTCCACCTGTTTTTCCCTTGCATCCCTTTTTGTTGAGGGTTTTTGCTGCTAGTCATCCCTAGGCACACTGTCTGCTTTTCTTCTGGGGAAACTTGAGATTAACTCAGTCATGAGGTCAGAAGGAGAGCAAAGATCACTTCAGATTTGCAGGCAGAAGGGTTGGTTTGTGGCTTGCTTTCTTCTCGTTTTTGTTAATTTAGAGTAGCATCACTGAGAGCATTAAAATTCAAGTTAAATTTGTACTTTCATTATTTGTGTGTACAGTATTTCTGCTCCCTTAATTGCTGAGATTTTGCAACAGTGAAAGAGGTGGTTTTGTCTTGGGTTGTCTTGGGTTGAATTTTTTTCCTGCCAGGAAAATTTTGATGTTGCAACATGGAAAACGCAAGGCCTTGAATACTTGCCCTTTGTTAGAGAAAGGGCTCCTTTAAGGGCTTGCATCTTTATTCTGTTTATTGATGTGGAAGCCTGTCGTCTTTTTGCCTAAAGAAAGGGCAGGAATTCAAGTACTTGGGTTTTCCATGTTATAATATCTGTGTATTTAGCTAGGGCGCAGAAGAAGAGCTCATAAAAGCCCCAGTGTTTTCCTATCATGTGTTTTTTTCTGAGGAAAGCTGTCATGCCAGGGGTAGCATGGCTGTGTCTGAGAAGGAGCAGAAGCGTCAGAGTAACCGAGTAAAGCATCTGCCTTGCTTTGCACATGGCAAGGGCACTTCATACCTCTTCCAGGTGATTTGGGGTGCGGGGATACAGAGTAGGAGCTGTGACCCCAGTACCCCATCTGTGGGATGCCCAGAATACCAATTCCTCAGCTGTAGCCAGTGGCTGATAGGAGCACCTCTCCCACGGTGCTGCTGATGGGAGAAGACAAGGACTGTGCACGTGTCTTTCCTCAGCCTGAAGCTCACTAGTTTGACTTGGCAATTCAAGCTAAATTTTCTCATGAGCTTAGGTACCAAGCTGCAGGGCAGTGAAACCCAAAGGCTGAAGGACAGAAAATGGGTTGATGTGCCTGTCAGCTCATCTATATCCCCTCTAGATGCCATGGGCAATGGAGAAACTCTCTTGAGGTGATCTATACACCCAGCTGCCTGGCAATGTAAAGGCTAAGATGTAGGAGGAAATTTTGCCTAGATATGAAAAAAGAACTCATCTGCACAACCAGATGGGCTCATCAAAGGTTGGGAATGCTGTATTTGAACTGAATCCAGCCTAGGCTCCAGAAAAAGCAATGTCATTGCTGACTTAGAGTTCACAGTGTGTCTCTGTCCTGGGTTTAGATTCACCAAGTGCCTTTGTCTCTGGATGGGCACTTGGAGCGCAATCAGTTGCAGAGGCATTGCCACATGGTACACCTTGAAGCACCAAGGGCTTCTATTTTGGACCATAAATTCCTGTGTATTCCTGGACTCCTGTGCCTGCTCAGAAGTGCTCTATAGGCAGCTCTACTTTTGCATAACCCATTAGGATTCAAAGGAAAATGGTGTGGAGAGTTCTAAAGGGGCAGGATTCAATTAGCAAGGAGTTCATCACAGCAGCTGGGGGTCACATCCACTAGAAAGTCAAAAAGGCCATTTCTTCATTCAGCAACCTCTTACCTGCAAAGCAGGAGACCTCCCTGCTGGGCTCTCACAGCCTAATTGCTCTTAGTTTAGTCTCCAGCTGGTCTCATGACAGCTCTAAATGGCTTTGCCCTCTTTGGATGTCTGTTCCTGCATCATACATCATCCTTGGCTTCTCTCTCCTTCAGCATACCCAAAAGCTTTCATAAAGCTCCTTGCTTCTTTGGTCAAATTTGTGAGAACTTCACCAAGTTTTCTGTTGGAAGTCCCTGACAATGCATTGTGCAGCCAATGAGTTTGATTTCAGTTTTTGGAAGAATGAGGTAGGAGAAACCCACTGTGCTTTGGTCCTTGTTTCCATGCTGGCATTTATCTGCTGCCAGTGGTTTAAAGTGTACCAGCTCACAGTTCTCTACTCATTGTTCTTTCTGTCTTCTGTCTTCCTGTCTGTAGAAACAGCAACTTTAAAAGAAGGTGAATGCTGGCTAACGTGCTAAATCTTCTCATCCCTTTGGGAAGCCAATCACCTTCTGAGTTACCCCCTCCCAAGGTTTCTCCTTGCTACTTTTCTGTTTCTATGGGTAGGAGTTTTCTTGAAGCTTTTATGCCATAAGATACCACAAGCAAAGCCACTTAGATCTGACCCTTTTTCAATGCTGATGCTTTTCAGGATGGGGTCCTTTCCTGCCTACCAAGGATCCAGATCTCTCTCCTGTGTTGTTTACAATTCACAAAGCACAGAAATGTTAGGCTGCAGGGGTTTGCCTTGATGAAGAGCACATTTAAAGTTAAGATAAGGACTTTCTCTGGTCATCTACACAATGCTTAATTTTGTATGAATAACTTTAACCTTCACTTGCTGTGTGTCTTTTACTTACACTTTCAAATTGCCATTTTGAATGCTGCCTGGACTTGCTCACCTTTCTATCAATGCTGCAAGTGAATTCCCTTTAACTAGGAGCTGCTGACACCGCAGCTCTGCCTGTGTTTAGTGTGATGGCCAAGATCCAGGCAAGGTAGGAGAGCCCCATGCAGTGGGGTAACCCCATAGCCCCCACCAGGGCTTGCCCCCTCTTCCAGCAGATGCAGATTTTTGGAGGGGCAGCAGCTGGGGAGGGGTTGATGGGTGCAAAGGCAGAGCTGGATGCTTCTTATATGTTTCATGAGAAGTTTGCAAATGTGCCAGAGCAAGGGGAAGTCCCTAAGCAAATTACCATGCAGGATACAGCACATCCATCTCCACCTTCCTGCCCACAGCTTGTGCTGGGGCACCTCAGGGGGAGGGAGGGCAGGAGGGCTCTGCTCTCAGTGGGGAGCTCTCCCACTCCACCACAAGTTGGGTTTGTGTGCTGGCTGTCAGCTCTCAGCCCTGCCCTGACACCGTGTCTCGCTGCTGCAGGAGTCAGATGAGGGCAGCCCAGCCTCTCCGTACAGGTTGGGCAGGTAGGAGAGATTAATTTCCTCTTCTGTCCCAGCTCCAGAGTCCTGGCCTTATTCCATGGTAGCAATTCTGCCCAGGGCATAGAAATTTACCAGCACATGCAGTCTCTTTGGATTTTCTATTTCCTTTTTTTTTTTTTTTTTTTTTTTTTTTTTTTTTTTTTTTTTTTTTTTTTTTTTTTTTTTTTTTTTTTTTTTTTTCCTTTTTCTTTGTACAGTCCTTAACAATAGCTGAAACGTCTTTGAGCTGAGACCCTTGTTTCCTAGATTTAGAGGGAAGGAGCAGGATAAAAGGCTATGAAGAGATTTAGGTGACTTTCCAACAATCTTGGCAAACAAGCCTAAATCTCAGCATCTTTGCAAGAGCCTGGAAGCTCTTTTTACCTTAAGAGCTCATGAAAACAGACATTCAACACCAGTTAAGGAAGGAGAACAAATGAGGCTGAAGGCTTTAAAGGGCCTACCAGCACCAAGGAAGGTCTCCAGGTCTTCCAGTGTAGCTGTCTCTCCTCCAGACATGCAGCGGAGGTGTGTGGCTGGCTCATGAAGTGTGCTGTGATGTGCAGCGTGTCCATCTGTGCTGATGCAGCAAAGTGGTCTTTATCATGGCCCCATCTGGAAACTGGGGCAGCCTGAGCACTTCCCCTACAGGGAACACCTTGCAGGGTCTGTGGGTCGGCTCAGACTAGACAAACCTGTATCAAGCCCTGCTGCTCTGTCAGCAGTATGCTCCTGCCACTGTCTCCATCCATGGCTGTGCTGGGCTTTCCCCATCACTTGTGGGCAGCAGATGTTTACACCACAGCTTTACAGTTTTGCCATGTTTACAGCAGAGGTAAAACAATTTTCCCACCCAACCCAGCTGACTGGGATGTGAAAATGCTCCAGTCATCATGAGGGTCCCACATTTGCCTCTGGGATGCAACAATGCATTAGGATTAGTACTTTGGAGCAGCTGATGCCCTTTGAGTGCACCCCATGTTTGTACTGGCTTAGCCTAAACTGATGAACTCTTCTTGTAACCTCCTCCTGCCAGTCAAAATCCTGGCTGTGCACAAAGCTGGGCTCAGGAACTGGCACTGATGTGTGTGCCAGTATGTGGTGTTTACCCAGAAGGCTGGGGTAGCTTTTTCTACAAGTGATGGGACCCTCTGGAAGACAGATCAATAGAGAACCAGTGAGTTGTGATTCCATTAAGTTTAATTGAGTGGGGAACAGCATCTGAGTGGCTATCACAGCTGAGGTGTTTTAGGGGATTTGAGCATGGATTTATTCACTGAAATGTGATCACTGTATTGGATGTGCAAGGTACTTAAAGCTTTTCCATCTGTTTTAGTTACCTCCTTAGTATCAGCACACCATTTGGGACTAAATATTTAAGGGGAGGTCCCCAAGTCTCACTCTGGAAGGACAAAATTGTCTAGAAATAATATCCAGGTCTTGAGAAAAGGAAAACACTTGTAGCTATTCCTTTGGGTTGTCTCATAGCTCTGCTTCACCGTGTATTTTGTAGGTTATCCCAGACATTTAAACTGGCTTTTAGCTTATCTTCCAGTCTTGGGTTTTCTTTTCTGGGAGAGGGAAAAGTTGAGAGGGTTCTGAAATCCTTTGAGCCATATCTTACCAGAGGACCAACTCTACCAAATTCAGTGATCTGTATTGGTACTGGAAAAGGAAAATTAAATCCACATAGTCATGTTCCCCTGCTCCAAACTTAGGCATACAAGGATGAGTGAGGTCTGGGACAGAAACTCCTTTGTCAATCCAATTTGATTTCATCACATCTTACAGTCTTTGAGGAAGCCCAGCAGAGGCAGAAAGGCCACAGGACACATAGTGGTGCCAGCAGCTACAGGTCCCCCACAGTAATTAAAAACCTTTGTCTCTTCTGCCCTAGTGCTGGATACTGCAGGCCAAGAGGAGTTCAGTGCAATGCGGGAGCAGTACATGAGGACTGGAGATGGTTTCCTCATCGTCTACTCGGTGACAGACAAGGCCAGCTTCGAGCACGTGGACCGCTTCCACCAGCTGATCCTCAGAGTCAAGGACAGGTGGGTGCCCTGGGCCAGCACTGCCTGACCCGCCACGCTGCCGACTGTCCTGGGGCATGGCTGCACCTCTGACCCCAGCTTCTGCCTTCTGGGTGTCCTGAGACAAATCCTTGTGTGGTGAATAAGAAGTAGTTTACTTCGATAAGCATGAAGCGCTTTCAGCCTGGAAAGGGTCAGTAGAGTTACAGTGGAATGAGAATGTATCTGGAAGGGAGAAACTTCTGCCAGAGTGGCCTGGCAGAGCAGTGTGAGAAAGAGAGATCAGACACCCCTAAAGGTAACCAGCTCAGCTCTGAAGAGGGGGAAGGATGCTCTTTGCCCAGTGCAGACACTTTGGGATCACCAGCAGGGAGGCAGCAAGCATTTGTCCCTCATTATTTCATGTGTCCTGGTACCATCTTCCTATCCCTGCCTTGTGCCAAATGCACCTGCGAAGGCCCTGCATTATTTGGGGGTGTGAACAAGTGTCTTGAAGGGAAAAAAACTCGTGCTGGGAAGGAACTGTGTTTCTTACTAGGGATGTAATGTAGTTAATGCACTGTGCTCTGCAGAAAACAATTACACAGAATAAAACATCTGTCTTTGCCTGGGGAGACAGCAAGACAGGTCGCCTCTCTCCTCCTTGCATGTGCAGGGGAGAAGGTAGCACTGGGAGTTTAGTCATGGTAAATAAATGTGTCCTGGCACAGTGAGGGGAAGCTGCTGGTTTATCTCCAAGATAACTCCCTCTTCCCACCCTGCTTCAAGAGGCAGTGGATCCATTCTCACTGGGTGGGGTGTGAATTAAGCCCTTATATGTCTGCAGCTTTGAAACACTTAGTTCTTCCGTTCATAATGACTTTTAATTATGGAAGTCATCAAGAAAAGTCACCAGAGGGTTTGGGCCTCGTTGCTGGCTTCCTTTCACAGCTCTGAATAACTTCCCCACAGGAAGGGTGGACTCCTATCATGTGAGGTTCACAGCTGACAGCTCTTCCAGTAAAGCATCCAAAGTGTGGCCCACAAGAGTGAAAAGTAAAGGAAAAACCACCCTCTGATTTCATTTAAATGAAGAAGAATGTCAGTCCCTCAGTCAGCCTCTCAGATCACAGCAGTCTAAGCACTGGCTGACTTAGCTTGGGGCAAAGTAAATCTGTTTTAAAAGCTGGAGAGAGGACAGAATTTCCTGTAACCTTCGCCAGTGCTGATTTTATCTAATTTACCTTGGTGAAAATAAGATGTGGTGTTCACTGTTTGCTCTGGACCGAAGTTTTACCCCCCGTACGCCGCCGTGCAAACGCTGCAGCAGCGTGTGAGCGGCAGGAAGTGAAACGGGCTGGGGAGGTTGTTTGTGTTTCCCCGCTCAGCGCCACTCCGAGCGTGAGCAGCGTATCAATGCTTCATCCAAAACCTGAGCTTGGGCAGAGAATCGCAGCAGTGGGAGCAGCATGAGTGAAAAAAACCCCTCCTGCCAAACCCTCAGGTAGCTAGGAACAGAGCATCACCCTGGTTTGCAGTCTGGCAGGCAGTTTTGGCAACTTAAAATCCAAAAGAATTGCAGGCTGCTGTGTTAGCAGGGCTATTCAAAGCCTTCCTCCCATTTCTTTTCACAGCTTTCATTATAGTAAAATTTCCAACTGTTGCAGTTTTGTCCAACTTGCAGTTGCACAGCTTACAATAGGGAACAAAGTCCCCATAGAGTTTTATGCCTGATGTAAACAAGGCAAATGAGATATCATCCAAAAGTAATACCTTTCTAATCAATGTCCTGCAAGCCAAAAAGCAATCAAATAATCCAGACAAGCAAATATTTTTCTCCAAAAGGATCAGAGTCAAAATATATCAATGCTTAGGTATTAACATTAAATCACAGTCACATTATCAGAATGAATAACTCTAAGACTCATTTAAAATGCAGAGTGCAGTATGGTATTTTTCCAGCCAGAGCAATGGGGCAACATGCCAGAGGGAAGATGGAGCTCTTATCATCTTGATGAATAATGACCCAGAAAAACTGTTTTAAAATCCAGAGTTACCAGAGAAGTGTTTTATACAGAAATGAGTATAGCCAGCTGCTCCTTACCCCAGTAAAATCAGGTCTGTTACAGCAGAGAACACTGGGATAATTTAGGATGGCTTAAAGTTAAATATAAGACACCAATACTGCAGTAACTGTCAGTGATCAGAAGGGACCTCCTCCCTCCCAGCAGTGCCTAAGAGGTCCTGCAGCAGCTGACTGCTCTTTTTCATGAAGCCAGAGGAGACAGTGGCACTGCCAACACCTCCCATGGCTCCCAGTCTTGGTTCTGTATATTGCTGGAACAGTGGAGCTTTCTGCAGGGGGAGAGGGGGAGAGCCTTGCACAGGACATGCTGTGGATAGATGGATCTCTTCTCAGGTGGTGGCTGAAGGCAGGCACTTACATGCCTGGTGGTTAAGGAAATACTGTGTATTATTACAGAGGGAGATGGGTTTGGTATTTTTTTCTGGGATTAGAAACAGGAGAAGGTGGGTAATAGCACTGGAAGCTTAAAAAATCTCTTCGGTTCCTTCCAGCCTTGTTCCAGCTACGACTGCCAAGCACAGTTTGTCTTGGGGTAACATCTGATGGCCATTTCTTTGCTTCCACTCATTTTCTCCACCATTTGATGCCCCTCTAAGCACCGGCTCCCAGAGTCCATCTTTCTTTCCCCACAATTGTTCTCAGTGGATGACCAGGAATGAAATTATTCCAATTCTTCCATCATCCCTCAGTATCTTGCCAAGATAAGCAGTTAGTGAGATGCCTTAACTGCTACAAAAGAGTCCCAGTCTCCTGTCCAAGATCTGTCTTTATGTCTCAGCTGATTTTCTGTCTAATTCTCTAGATCTTTCTAGTCCCAGTTAGATCTTCAGGCTTAGTTATCATCAGGCATTGCAAAAATGGTGACAATAAGTTCCTGAGGTCCCTACAAATAACAAGGAATGTGTGCATGCATGCAACTTGTCAAGTAAATTTTTACAATATGAACATATGTATAGCACAGCCTGGGGGTTTTATTTCTTTACACATATGTGGTATGCCTGTAGCTGAAAATGCTAGATGATGTCAGCATCAAAAAGGGAAATTTATGCTCATAATTTTTGTTGTAGTCTGCTAATAATTGGGTGGTGGTTTTGATTTTTTCCAGGGAGTCTTTTCCAATGATTTTGGTGGCAAACAAAGTTGATCTAATGCACTTACGGAAAATTACAAGAGAACAGGGGAGAGAAATGGCAACAAAACATAACGTAAGTTTGTGGGATTAATGGGTTATTGAAAGTCCTTCAGAATCGAAAGCTGTGCTCATTAGGAACTGAATTAAAGCTTACAATTAAACATTTTTAAACACATTTTTGTCTACTACATAGTAGCAGCTATGCAGTTTCATTTCAGTAGGGCTAAATCATCACTGAAACCAGAACCTCTGCTGTGCACCAGGCTGTAGCAGAGCTGTGGCAATCACTAAGATTTATGTACAAGGTGTCTGAAAGTGGTGAGAAGTGTTCAGGATGAGGAAAGAAAGTGCACCTCCCTGGACTGAAAAGGCAGAGTCAGGTTTTAGGAGGTATATCCAGGTGCCTGAGCTTGTTCAAGATAATGAAGTTTACAGGGTTGTTAAGCCTATATAAATCTGGCCCACCATCTTAGCTCTGCATTATTCATGCTGTTAGTTTAGCCTGAGAAATTGGTCTTAGATGGGTGTAGATCACATGCTGCTCCTCTAATCACTTCTAAATGCCAGCAGCCCTGAATACCCAGAGGGAGACAACAACTCCCTTCGGAGGTGGAACTGAAGGAAAGGTTGAAGGCAAACAAGCCTGAGACCTCTTGGCAGCTTGCTGTGCCTAAAGGAGGTGGAACTGAAGGAAAGGTTGAAGGCAAACAAGCCTGAGACCTCTTGGCAGCTTGCTGTGCCTAAAGGACAAGCTGTGGTGGTTTCTGAGCAAATCTCGATGGGAGTTTGGCAGGGCAGGTTCACTCCCTCCCCTCCCCACGGAATCTGGTTTCTGTCAGAGCCAGAACACCTAAACTGCAGCACAGCATGTTGTGTCCATCTGTGTACACACACCTTGGAAAAGGCCATGCATGAAAATACCTTATCAGAGGCAGTTTTATAAATCTGCCAGTGTGCTGGACAAGCATTCTAGGAGGCCCCATCTGGCTGTCAGACTTTGAAGGGGAAGATCATTTTACACTGAAGGGGAATTGTAGTCATGAAATATTCATGCAGTAGTCCCAATAAAATGTGGCAAGCAAGAATTTTTGGCAAGTGCTGGTCTTTCAACAACCTTCGGCTATTTTCATGTCTGTGAGCACAGCTCAGGGGGAGAGAACATCTGACGACATGAAGTCTGGGATTATTCTCCCCCAAACCCAGAGCTCGACAGCAGCTGTTTAGCCTGGTGCTTATTCCAGACCTTTTGTAAGCAGTCCCTGACCTTGCTGCAAGTGTGAGGGTGTTGATAGCAGTGTCATGGCAACATTCTGTTTACCTGTATTTCTGTGGTATTAGCAGCCCATTTCTCCAGCCTTCAGGCTTTTCATTTTAAAACTGGTATTATCACTGATCTCTTTCATGATACACTTCTCTCCTCCAGATTCCTTATATAGAAACAAGTGCCAAGGACCCACCTCTGAACGTGGACAAGGCCTTCCATGATCTCGTGAGGGTAATAAGGTAAGCTGCAAACTCCTCCCTTCCTTACTGCCCATGGATGGGATGTGCAGGAGTCACAGCCCAGAGAGTTAAGAGCCATTTTTTGGGGAGCAGGTTTTCTTGAGGATAGGTTATTTCTGATGTTTATTGACTTCCTTGTCCTGTATCTGCTTAGGTATGTTACTAGCACTTAGCTACCCATGCAGGACATCAGTACCAAGCCCAGTAAGAAGTAACTGTGGCCATAATGAAAATTATTTTTATTCAATGAACAGTGCAAAGCCTACTATAATGATCAGCTCTAAAAGGCTAGCATTGAAAGCTCTGGACCAGTAATTTGGGTTTTCAAAATTTTGTCCTCTCAAGGTCTTGCCTTGCCAGAAGTTAAAAAGGACTGGCAAAAAATTCTACAAAATTCTAATGTTGTAGGTGACTTCGAACATTTTGTGCTCACTAAATGGAAAAATTAAGCCATTTTGTATGAGAAACTGCATGACCTAATGGCTAAGGCCCAGGTTTCCTCAGACTGCAGAGGTTTGTTCCCAGTTTTGGCATGAGCTGCCTTTGGCAAACGCGCTCTCCGGGCAAACCTCTGCTCTGGCTGCCAGCAGGGAGGGACTGCCTTCCCAAAGCCCAGCTCCCCTGCAGGAAAAGAGCTGCACACACATCCCAGCATCTCGGCTGATAACCTAGCTCTCTCTGAGAAGATTTGTTTTTCTGGCACTACTTGTCTGCCAGATTTTCTGGGCCCTCATTTTTCATGTTTTGGGAGGGCGCTGAGCTGAAATCACGCTCCTTCCTGCCATGCAGTCAAAGTGCCTCGCCCGGCAATTAAGCCACAAGGCATTTATTCACAGCATATCTGTACTTGTGAATATCCTAGCAGAGCCTCAAGCCAGCCTCCATCAAAACCAGATGGTACTGCCCACTCTTCCCACATGTCTCAAAAGCAGAGGGCAGAAAGTCTTTGGAGAACTGAGTTGGAAGTGCCCCAAGCTCTTTCCCAACTGTTCTCTAACTCAGTATTAGCTGCCTAGATATTACTTCTGTGTTGCAGCAAGCTCTTACCACCATCTACTCTGCTCTGCAGGAAAAGAAAACAGCCAAAAATAAGATGGAAAGGCTTTGTTTGGTTTCTCCACGTAATACAGCTCCAGGCATGCTTAAAGGGGCATTGTAATGAGGCATTACTAATTTCAAGCCCTGAAAATGCACTCCATAACCTCAAAAATAAGTGGTACACCTCAGTTTCCTGAGTAGCTACTGTGAAAGTCCTTTGCCAGCCTGTGATGTCAAGGGCACCAGAAATGTTCACAAGAGCTGGAACTCAGGTTTAGTCAGCAGGGGGACGCTGTGTGATCTGGCTGGTTATTGGCAACAAAGCAGTTTTGCTTGGTTTTTGGACATTACAAACTGTCCACAGTCGAAGGTAGCATCACCCATCTAGTATTGTTTTTCTGGTTTTCAAGTAAGCTTTTTCAAATAAAATGTAAGTTTCAGCTCCCTGATAACTGTTGTTGACAAAGTGCTTTGCAAATGAAGGGCTTCCTCAGAGCCCTGGTGAGCTCTCAGGGTGAGGATGCTCGTTCAGGGTTGCACTGTTTGTGTTCCTTGCACATGGCTGATTTCCAGTTTATTTATTTAGCTTCATGCAAGGAACTGTTGTCTGGAAGTAATCCAGAAAGAAGTGGGGTGACTGAGTCCACACAATAGATGGTTTAAATTTCCTGATGCTCCTTTTATGCTGCAGCAGTGCACACACAGGAATTGTCACAGCAGAAGCCTTGAGTCAGGGTGTGGTTTCTGGATCTCTAAAATGGATCCAGAAGAGTGTGAACAGCTTGTGGTCACTTAGTGTTTATCCAGATTTAAAGTATTTTCTGAATTTCATTTTTGTAGTTTTGAGCTTTAAAGTTTTATCTTTTTCATGCCTCTAGCCTTCATATTCACTGAGAAAAAGTCTTACTAGTCAAGGCTGAGTTTTTCAGGTGGTTGCAAGAATTTAGAAGCTGAGGCTATAAGAGAAACACCAGCTAAAGCCATAGTGATTTATGCCCCAGTGATGTCTCATCCTGGTCTGGATTACTTGGTATGAACACTTGGTTTAATACCTGGCATATGACATGCTTTTGAACTGCTCAGACTCTCAGGTTTCAATCTACAGAAGCTGCTGGTGTCTGTATGTTTTATCATGCGCTAAAATCTGCATCTACAGGCTGCCTGTCAGGTGTTTGAGCTACAGAGCCTTCTCTGGATCTGCACTGCTGGGCTGCCAGAGTAGCTCTGCAGTTGGGTGCAGCTGCAAACACACATTTGGGCAGTGCCTCACTTTACTGGACAGGGAGAAGCCCTCAACAGAATGCTTCAGAGGCTGCTCACTGCTCCGGGGCATACTGCAGGAGGGCTCTCTGCTGTGTGTTCCCAGGTGGCTGTGACTTCAGACAGCCAGTGACATCTTTCTGGGGTCAGCTCATTCTGTGTGCACTGATGCTCTTCACATCAGAGGAAGCCAGAGCCCCTTTGGCAGCAAACTCAATTTTTGGTTTATTATTTTTTAGCTCCCCTCCATCACCAAGTCTGCATCAGTGCAGCTGGCTAAGGGCAATGCCAGCTGAAAGGCAGAAGAGAGTATTTCTCTGTGCTCTCTGGATCTCTCTCATCCTCTTCCCTAGTGAGTGTCAGCAGTGTAATGGATGGTTGCATCACTTAGAGCATCCCTGTTTCCCAGAGCAGCCCCCATGGCAGGGGAGGAGGCAGCAGTTCACCGTGGGCAGCTGGAGGCATAGTGCCCTGGCAGGACATACATCCCTGGTATTAGCCTTAATGGCTTCTTTCCTCCTTCCTAAAGAATGCAGGCCAGGCCTTCTCAGCTGTGTGGCATCAAAAGCCATGAGTGCTGGAAGGGTACATGGAGATCCGTATGCAAACATGCACATGCACACCAAGGTGCTGCTCTACAGGCTGCCCAGGGCTCTGGACCCAGCCCAGCCTTATGCCTCACCTGCCTGTTTTCTTCTCTGTCTCCCAAAACAGGCAACAGATCCCAGAGAAAAGCCAGAAGAAGAAGAAAAAGACCAAATGGCGAGGGGACAGAGCCACGGGCTCCCATAAACTCCAGTGTGTGATTTTGTGACGGGACACCCTGGGAGTGCCTTGGATGCCTCCCTCCTCCCTCCTGACCCCCTGCCAGCCCAGGCAAGGAGCCACAGCTCGATGCTGATGCCCACAGGGCCCCGTGGCCCCCCGGGCTCCCCACGGCGGCTCAGACTCGGAGCGGGCGGCTCAAAGGATCCGGACCCAGAGAGGGGCTGCACGTCAGGGCCAGCGTGGGAGCTGTGCAAATGGGAGGCAGAAGGGATCGGCAGGACCTCAACTCTCAAACATCCCCAGCATCTTCCAGGGGCCTCCATGATGTTTATAAAAACAAACAAAAAAAGGCAGAAGTTAAAAAAAAAAAAAGTGTTGGTTTTATCTGCAAACATTTCTCTTTGTGACCCATTTCTGAACAGCCTTGAATAGCCCCCCTGTTTGGTACAGTTTTCTGTGTATGTGTGGGGGAAGGGAAAGGGTTTTTCTTTCTCTTCATTTTTTTTGTCCTCTTCTTCCTTTTTGTTGTTTGCTCAGCAAGTGTTGGGTTGCAAAGAAACAACGGCCAGGCTTAGATTTTTTGCACTGGACTCTCTTGGGCGGCAGTGCCAAAACACAACTTCATATGAAAGTGCATAGATTTGGAGGAAGAAAATTAATTCCAGCTGCTCTGGGTGCTCCAGACATTGTGTCAGACTCTGGAGGGTTGCCAGCTCACAGACCATAAACTCCAGTTTAGGAAAGGAGGTTTGGGCTTGGATTATATATTTTTTTTTCTTACCCTTTGTCAAGAGGTTTTGTTTCTGTTTTGTAACTTCGGACATGTCAAACTTAAGACATTTTGTTAACCTGGAAGTATTTAAATTAAAGTAATTTACAAATTGAAGGTATGTCATTTTTGGGGGAGGGGGGTGGAGGGGAAGGGAGAAAGGAAGTAAAATCTGAACTGAATTTGTTATTTGGGTGTTGAATTTCTCCCTCATAAATGCATGTACAGTGGTGTGATCTAAATCACTCTATTATTCCTTAACCTTTCCCAGCAAAGCCACTTGTGGGTAGATTAATTGTTTTGCTTTTCCCAGGCTCATCTCATACACACAGGAAACAAAATCTGTTTATGGAGTTTGGCTCAATGTTTCTTCTTCTCCCTCCTTCGCCAAGTTGGTGACTTGAAAGGAAGAGGTGTTTTTAGAATTATTCAAGTGGGATGGGTCTCTTTATAAGCTGACTGTATCTAAACTGTCTCCCTGAAAACAGCAAGGACTAAATATGCCTTATGAAAAGACAAGGCAAAAAACCTGCAAGCATTCAAACTGCCATCTGTAGCACCAGAAATATGGCTATGCACATCCTGGAGGGGCCACGTGTTCTTTCACACCTTTTCTGGCAGTAAGAACTACAGTAGCAAATTTGTCTTTAATGGTATGTCATCTGCTGGATTGAATCCATTGGCTCCACTCACATGGTCACCAAATCTGTTTAAAAGTAGCAACTTGCTTTTCATCAGCTTGAATCCTCTTCAAATATGCTTTGTGGGCATGACTTAAAATATTGGCAGAGTATGAATGCCTGAGATTTATGTGTCTGAGCACAGAAAATCCTGGTGCTGTATATTGAGGATCCATCCAAGATGATGGATCATCATAAACTTAGTTGCCCATACTTGTCTATTTGCCACTAGATTTCATTTCTTGACCCTTTGCCAGGCCACTTTTTAGAAGTGAGTTGGCTACTGATTGTTTTTCAGGTGATTGAGGCTAATGGAAACATGTTCTTAATTTGTCCAGTCTTCATCACAGCCAGAAGATGCAAAAGCCTGCAGCTGGCTCAGCAAGCTGCTTAGGGTAATGCTGGCTGGCTCTGCTGCCTCTGTGTCCTTTGGTGTGGTGACAGATGCTGGGGATGGATTAAGCAGGGGGATATTGGAAAGAAGTGTCTCTCATGGACCCTTAGGTTGGATGTGGGCCATACACTTCAGTGAAGTATCAACGTGATGTGGCTTCTGACCATCACAGCATTTCTCCCAGGGCTGGCTGAACAGAACTGCAGCAACTGAAGCCATCCACTTCAAATTCTGGTCCTTGAGACTTGCCTCTGCCCTCTGCAGGAAGATCTCCCTGTAGGCATTTAATTTGTTCTGCTTTGAAAACCTCTAGTAAATCAGAAATTGTCTGATCTTTGCAACCACCCCATTTCACCATCACCCCTGTAACCACTTCCCTACCAGAATCCCTGTCTAGCCTCACTGCTGGTTTAATAGTTTTAATTATACACTACTAATGCTATGGGATCCCACACAGAAGATGATCATGGTATTTTCAGGGAACTCTTTTAATGTCCCCTAGAGCCCTTCCACTTAAAAAATAACTTGATTTCTGCTGAAACACCTCATCCTTATTATTTTTATCTAAACCCTTGGGAATGCTTGCCTGAAAGCAGCATGTGTATCTCTTGAGTCGCATCTGCTGTGTACTCAGCACTGCATGTGAGAAATTACCTGCTTTTTTCTAAAGCTTCTTAATTTTTTCTTCAGTTTCTTTAGCAACTAACAGCTATTACAGAATAATTGAAGGGAGGAGGAGGGGAAAGGAGCAAATTAACAACAGAATATGGAGTAGTGGCCATCACCTTGGAGTGTTTTCCAGCAAGGATTGCATCTCTGACAATCCTAGGGTGCTGAAAACAGCAAAGCCCTCTGCCACCTAACCCACCCTGTCCTGTTCAGGCCTGTTGGAAATGGAGAGCACCTTCCCTGCCATGCAGAGCACCTACAGACCTGGCAGGGAGACACCAGTTGGTAACACACTGCAGAGAGCAACAACTGTGCTGTGGGTGTGTATATTTTTCTGTGGAACATCTAGTGGATAGGGACATTTTTGCTGTGGTCAGGGCCAGACTGGAGAAGGATCCTGTAAGGGCACACGTGGAGCTCATTACCAAAGAGTGGATGGTCCAAGTGATCTAACATCATCTGATGTTAGAGCTGACCTCGCTTTCAACACACAGTTTCAAACAAAATAAAAAGAGGGGTAAAACCTTACCAATTTATTGGCATTTAATAACTGAATAACATCCTTTTTCTATTTTAGACACTGAATAATATTTGTAGAACCACAAACCAAAAGTATTAAGGCACCTACGTTTTTGCTTTGCAAAGGTGTCATCACCTCCCTGACCTGGGATCCCATAGCATCTGTACCACTGCCATCAGGTAAATCATGCTGCTGTTTCCTCTCTGTGGTCCTGCCTATAAAGCAGCCACTGGCTTTGTTTTCTTACCAGCTTCTGAGGTGCATGACATTTTTTGTACAAGCTAAGTCACCTGTTTGTCTTTTGACCTCATGTCTCTCAAAAGGGGGGTGGGAAGGAAGAAAAGGAGAAATACCTGGTTGAAATAAATTTCCCTTGGCATGAGCAGAGTTTAATTTTCCCTCTCTGCCTGCCAACTCTAAATGGCACAAAAGCCTGATAAGAGTAAAACCAAACAAGACCACCCCACAGCTGAGGAGTCCTGTAGGTGCTGGCCACCTACAAACCTGCTTTCTTGGCTGTCTCAGCCAAGGTCACTGCTGTCACTGGCAATGCTGCTCTGTGATAGTCTGGGTACATCTAAATAAACCATGTTCAGATGATGGTTCTCAGCAGCAAAACACTGGAGAGTGAACAAGAGAAGCAAGTACTTAACAAGGGGCTGGAATTGCTTAGTTTGGATCGGCTGTTTCAGTTTAACAAGAGGCCATTACTGTTTGTTGCTCAGTTCCTTAATCTGCAATAATTAATTTTGGCTGGCTCTTTTAACCTACAGCTGTATTAGAATTTGCAAATTAGGACAGGCTGAGGGGATTAGACATACATGGTGTGTCTCGTCTGCAGAGGAAATGAGAATTGTTGGGCACAGAGAGGACAGCATTGTAATAATGGGTCAGATATTTTGTTTTAGCTTGTTACCATTCTCAGGCCAAAATGGACTGCCCAGAGGCTTATTCAGCTTCAGTGATTTCAAGAGATGGTTCCTGAATGCTGCTGAAGTGCTTGGGAAGAAGGTGATCCCCTCAAAGCTCTGCTAAGAGTAGAATATAATGGGGAATACAGAAGATAGTTTAAGAGACACAACTCATGGTCTACTCCAGATGTCAGAGTTCAGATATTTATTAATGAGGGAGAGAGAGGGCTTGAGAGAAGTTTGGCATTAAGGAAATAGCCAAGGCCCTGTGACAGCTGCCACGTCAACCTGCGTACCTTGGAATGGACAGAAGAGCTCTGTGTCTGGAAATCTGCTTTCTGTGAGCTGGGTTCAGTGGCCAACCAATTCTGTCTGCTGTAGGCTGAGCAGGAAGGAGGAGTTTTAGTGCATTTGTACAGGACTGCATTACAGTGCACAGCAAATGTGGCAGTGAAAAGGAGGGGAAGGATGCTGTGGCATGGAAAGTGTTGCTGTTCTTGGTCACTGCTCCCTGTGCTGGGAGGTCTCCAGCAGTCACACAGGTAAATTGAGTGTCTTGCTTTTATGTATTTAATGTCATATGAAGTTGCCTGGAGGTATCCAGGGCATTTACCTGTGAGTTTCAGCTATAACACGAGACCTATAGGAAATCTGGGCCATTCTGGAGCAGCAGCCACCAGCCAGGCAAGGATTCACCTGAGCACCTGAAATGGCTCCAATGTGTACCTTGGGGCAGCCAGTAGGTGCTCTGAGAACCCTTTTCTATTTCACAGCAGTGCCCCAGACAAATCAGTGGCTATTTCAAGTGTCTGTGGATACCCTCGTTCTTCTCCTGCAAAGTGATGTCATCTGTGTTTTGGGGACTCATTGATGCATCTAGACAAAGTCTAAAGTAGAAGTTACCAATTCTGTGAAATGTATGAATTGCATTTTGCAGCCTAGGCAGTCTCATGAGTGTCAGTTGTACAATTAGGCTGTAAATAATTCAATATTTGGTTATCAGGGATTCCATCAATATTATGCAGGCCTTTTGCTTCCTTTTCTCTTGCATGCAAGGGAAATAAATATTTCATAGATGATCTCACAGATGGTTTCTGGAATGACATAGGACTTGCTTGCAGCAGAAAAGAGCAGGGAGAGAGATGCCTGCATGTGCTGGATCCCATGATGGGGAGGCACAAGGAGTTACAGCACAGAGGTAGGCTCTGGTCTGAGGGGGTTTCCCACCACTGTGGTAAATCACTGCTGCTTCAAGAAATCACTCCAGCTCCAAGAAGTCACTCATGAGTGGCCAGCAGGTCAGGCAGGTCAGGACTTCCAGAGGCAGGAGAAACACAAGGGGACTGTGTCCCTGCTGTGCCAAAGGGAGGGGCCAGGGAAGGAAGGCTCACACTCAGCAGTGGGACCTGCCAGGTGGGTGAGTACAAGGGGCTACTGCTAATGACAGGAGGGGGATGTTCAGCCATGCTGAGTGCAGAGAGACAGCCAAAATCCCCTAATCCTGGCAGTTCTGGGACAGCTTTTTTAATTATTTTGAATTCAGAGTTCCCTTTGCCAAATTCTGGGGGACCAGCAACATCATGCCAAGCCAAACACAGCAGTCTGACTTGCCACAAGCATTACTACTCCTGTGGTTTCCATCCCTCCAGCCAGGCCTCTCTGATGCAGACCAGGACATGTACAACATTGTCTGAGAGCTCAGACTGGGCACATGGTCAGACCCAGGGGCCAGAGAGGGACTTGGGCAGCGTCCTGGATTTGGCCAATAAGAGAGCAGGAGTAAGAGGTGAAGGAAGGAGCTTTATGAATCAGGACCCTGTTCTATAAAGCCAAATCCTCTGCAAATCTGGGAAAGAGGCATTGTACAGCTTGTGATTAAGACAATCTCTGCTGAGAAGTCAGCCCAGCTGAACAAGTCACGAGCTGCTCCCTGGGCTGCCACA